TTTCAATCCAAGGGTGTACTCAGAATACAACTGTGTGGCAAGAAATTGAACAACAGAAGGAGAGTAGAAATGTCTGCTTAATCCAAATCTGCAATTCCACCTTCCAATATTGTTGAAATCTTTTAGATACAAAAATTATTGTCTCCTGAATACTTTAGATTTGGACCAATACTAACCATCAGACAACGAAGTATTATAACAAATTCCAAGATCTGTTCACCTAAAATTGAAAACCTAATTTCCCTCAGAACAATGCTGAGCACATATGAGACACTCGTTTTCAAAACCCAATTTGTAATCAAATTATATCTCAATTCATATAGAACAACAGTAAAAACACACATGCACCTAGTTTCAAATTTTCTTCTTATATGTACTTTTTCATAAATTGAAGGGAAAAGTGTAAGATCTGATTCAAAATTGTTCTATATTAATTACTTCAGTCTTGAAAATGCATTCAATGAAATGTACTATCATCAATAAACAAAACACCCAATTCTAAAAGTAATTTAGTATCATACCTTTATATAATAATCTCTAGTCAGTAAAGAAAATCAAAATACTCAAAGGAAAGCCAATAAATTAACCTTAAATAAATTAGCTGATTAAAAATTGTATCCATCTTAATTCTAATAATGATCACCACCTTTTACTACCTTGCCGCCCCTTAAAACACAAAATGTTGTTAGGAACCTTAAAAGACCCTAAGAATATGTTTACCAAAGTAAAAAAGTAATAATAATAAGTAACTCCTTTTAAAACTTATCTATTTCCTTCTTATATAAAACCCTAGTTTTGAGATGTCTTGCTTTTAAAATGATTATTTAGTCACAAATAAGGAAACTGTTTCAAAGCCAAAAAAAATTAACTCTACATCAGGTCTTCAGAAAGGGGACACACACACACCAAAGCAAAATATGTAAATGAACTGAAAACACAAAGATAATTTTTCTAGGATTTTTTATTTTAAAAATATATGGTTTTAGTTTTTTTAAAAAAATCCAACCATAAGACAGGCAGAAAATGAAAAGTAAAGTTCCTCACAAAACCTTGCCCATGCACCTAACTGCCCTTCTCCAAAGATACCCACTCTCCAATGATTGCTCGTGTAGTCCTTGGAGACATTTTTATGCATCTATATGCAAGTCTTTTTGTTTTAAACAGAATTACAGCATATTATGTGAACAACTGACTTGTTTTTAAACAAAATATCCAGATCACCTTTTCTTCTCGGTATATACAAATCTACTTTGCTCTTTCATGGTTGCATAATATTCCACGGGCACTTCTTACTCAGTTCCCTTCTGATATCAGTGTAGATGAATTCCAGCCTTCCAGTATTGCAAACCATACAGCAATAAGCATTGTTCACTGTACAGAACATCTTTGTGCACTAATATTATTGTATCTATAGGATAAATTCCTAGAAATGACACAAAAATATTGTGTCAAGCAGCAGGGAAGCATCATCTACTACCACCTCAACCCATTCTGAATACTGCCTATCCATCTTGTTAGTCGTCAACGTGACAGATGAAAACAGCATGTTATTTTTACTTGTGTCTCTCTATAAAAGAGTGAAGATGAACTAGATTTAATCAGTGCATTTTTTTGTGAAATGTGTTACCTAGTTTTATACTGGGTTATTCATCTTTTTCTTTTTAACCAATTTTTTTGGAGTTCTCTGTCAGCCTTCAGTCAAACATGCTACAAATATTTGCCCAAGTTAGCTATTTAACTTGGTTTATCATGTTCTTGAATCCTACAGAAATGTTTACATCTTTTTATGCAATTGCATTTATTTTCCTTTATAATTCAAATTTTAGATTATATTAGGTAAGGTCTTTCCCAGGAAAAATTTTGGGGAAACTTTTTAATGTGACTTCTAAACCATTACCTAAATGACATTGGTAATATTTACATACAAATACCTTCAGCAATAACTGTAATATATCATTATTTAGTAAAAATAAGTCAACTATGCTTTCTCTAAGCTGATAGAGAATGCTGCACCAATTAAATACTGCTTACAACTACCACACCAAAAGTCTATTTTTTCCTTTGAATGTCTTCTTGAAACCTAGAAATTGAAAAATAACCAGCAAGTACAGTATGTTCAACTTCTGGGATGCCTCAATTATCTGTCCTTCAATCTTTAAATAATCTTCAACAGTATAAATGTAAATACTAAAGTCCAGCAACTAGATTTTCCCCATTGTAGTTATAATTTAGTCATCTCTACAAAAGTCAGTAAATACTCCTTATACAAACTTGTAATTTTGCAACACCAGAAAAATGTTTATGATGCTATCAACACTGTACTCCATCCTGTTTCATTCAGGTCCTGAAGTGAAAAAGAGTTCTACCTCAAATCACAAATTATAAAATAAGCCTCTTGAGTTAGTATACCAATTCAAACCATCACATAGAGCTAAATTAGGTGGTTAATCTAGCTACTCTCTCTGTTCTCCATTAAAAAAAAAAAATTCTAGTCACAAATTTTCAATCTCAGTGCCAGCTGCCAAGCATTTAACAGCCTTCCATCTCTAAGCTGACTAGCACAACAAGTAGTACAACTTGGAAGTTAAGAAAATTAGCAGAACTCAGAGGCGGGGGGATATTTTCCACAATTTCTGCAGCACTTGTTTAGCACGTATATGTTTCCAAATGGGTGGTCAACTCTTCAAAACTGTAAGAAGCATCATACAACATCACATGAACCAATGCCAACCCCATTCGATGGTCTCCTTCCCCTTTGGGGACTATTCAAAAAGTTAGTATTTTCTTTTATAACTCACTCAGGCCTCTTCACTGATGAAAGCAGGCAAAACCCACGCTGTGTCTGTCTCCTAGAGAAGATTGCATCTTTTATTTATCACTCCTTGACTTTATTTTCACAGTGAATTCCTGGCTTAAATGCAATCAGCCAAGAAACCCTCCCTATGTGCTCTCCTGTCATTCCTCATTGCTTGCAAGCAGAATCAAGCACAGAAGGAAAAAAAAATAGGGGGAAAAAAAACTCAACATTGCTGGCCAAGCCATAAAAATTCAAAAACTCTAGTTTGTTATACTGAGAACCCTTAGGTACCTTCAATACGTTTCAACCTGGCAGCACGAAACAAGGGGGGAAAAAACTTGAATGAATGTTAATCAGATTTTTTAAAAGAAAGGATGGATGGGTAGCCTCAAAAGTTGAACCCCCTCTAAGACAGAAGGAAAGGGTGCGGAACCCAGAAAAGGCAACACTAGGGGATGCCTTTGGAAATAAATGACCATGCAGAAAATCACATTTGCAGATTGCATTAGAATTCAAATTAACCAGACAGGATTAAAACACATCTGAATTCTCTCTTGGAATCCCTATCCAGACCCCCACCCAACTCCCAAAGATAAAAGGAACTGACCAAGGAAACAAGAATTAAAAATCAGAGACAGTAATGCTTCCAAACCTCTCTCCATTCATTAGGTACCCTTGTTCACCACTACAATTTAAAGAACACGGCAATATGAAAGGGAGTAGAAAATATGCCATTTGCAATCAGGAAAAAAATATGGGGAGGGGGTTTCATTACAGCATTGTTCTTTTCAGTCAGCCCAAACATCCCCATAGCTATGGCTGAAAACACACACACACACACACACACACACACACACACACAAAATACAAAAAATAAAAATAAAGAAAGAAAACCACTAGGCAGGGGAGAGTGGGGGGGGGGGAGGAATACAGGGAAAGCTTTTAAACTCCGTATTTGAGAAAACTCTCATGGTCTACTAGAGAAAGGGAGGCTGTACAGCTTTAAATCACAAGTCCTTCTCTCGCCTTTGTCAAATATCTTCTACTTTACAAGCCCTGAAAAGAGAGACTCTTTTGTTTGGTTTCCCCTTTTCGGAGAATGACAGAAAACTGAAAGGGGCACAAATAAACCTGAAAACGAGAACAAAGTGCGGGGTCGTGCCCGGCTGCCAGGGAGGGACGCGGGAGCGGCCGCGGAGCCCCTCGGCCTCGGCTCGTGCAGCCTCAGGCAGCGAGCGCTAAGCCCGTAACTGCTCCCCGGCTCACACCGGGCACGACCACCCGGCCACCCAGCGCAAGCCAAACTCAGGCGGCAAGAGCCCCCGGGCACCGCCGCGGCCCCAAAGAAAAGAGAAGCGCAAGCCGCTCCTTCCAGGACTCGCGCCATTTAATTCGGGGTGTCTTGGGGGTGAGAGGTCCCTCAGGAGAGGGGTCCAGCCCGCAGCCCCCTCCCTCCGGCACTGCTCCGAGACGGGGGAGACGCGGAGGGAAAAAAGACATTTAAATCCTCGGGCAGCCACGGAGCTCGCTGGCCCAGACTAGACGCCGCAGCGATCCCGGTGCGTCGCGGCCGCCAGCCCGTCGAAGCCCTAGGAGGAGCGGCCGCCGAGTGGCATAAAAATGTATTCCCCTCCCCTCAAAACGAAGGGGCGGGGAGGGGGAAGAGGAGAAAGAAAGAGGAGCGAACGACAGACAAGGGAAGAGAGAGGAGGGAGAGCGCAGAGCGCGGCCCGGCAACCGGCTCGGCCCCGGCCGGCATTGTCTGTGCGGCCCGCGCCCCCTCCCCCGCCCCGCACTGCCCCGCCACACACCCTCCGCCGAAGCCCGGCCGTCCGCCCGCGCCTTTGTCCACATCCACTCCCCCAAAACGGCGAACAGCCCTCCAGGACGTGCTCTCCGGGAAGAGAGTGGGGAACGGAGTGGGTCCCCGGCACCCGACACCCACCCCGCCGACCCCGCCGCGGGGCGCGTCCTGCTGATTCATTTCCCACTCGCGCTGGCCCGTCCGGGGAGACAGGGGGCGGGGAGGGGCGCGGAGGAAATGGGCGCTCTGCTCGGGAGGACGGTCCGAGCCAGTGAGGGCACCGGGCAGGGTGCAGGCGCACGACGGGCTGAGGGGCTGCCTGAAGGGGAGGGGGCAGGCGCCCCGCCCCCGAGGAACTGACGGACGGACAGACGGCCCCGCGGCTGCCCCGTGACTCACCGACTTGCAGGACGTTGTCGACGCAGCCGCTCTCCAACAGCGCGATGCCCCGGCGGAAGGGCAGCCGTGTCTCGTCGCCGCCGTCCGCCGTCCCGGCGGCCCCCACCGACGGGGCCCCAACCCCGGCCCCGGCGGCGGTGGCTGAGGTGGCGGCCGGCGAAGACGAGGAGCTGCCGCTGCCCGCGCCGCCCGCGCCGCCGCCCGCGCCGGCGGGGCCGCCGCTGTCGTCGCCGGGGCCGCCTGCGGCGCCGCTGCCGGTATTGAAGGACGAGTACATGCAGATCTCCCGCTCGCTGCGGGGAAAGGACCAGTAGACGATGCGGCGCTGCACCGGCTCCGGGATGCGCTCAAAGCGCTCCTCCACGCGCTGAAACGGCCACTTCTCCGCCACCTTGCGCGCCGCGATGTCCAGCAGCGACTCTGGGCTCTGGGTCTTGCCCGGCGGCAGCAACCCCAGTGCCGCGCCGCCCCCGCACGCCGCGGCAGCCGCACTGCCCGCCCGTGGGCCCGGCCGACAGGTAGAGCTGTAGCCGCCACCCGCTCCTCCGCCGCCGCTGCTGCCCCCGCCGCCGCCGCCGCCGCCCGGCCGGCAGCACAGCCGTTTCGCGGGAGGAGGCTGCTGTCCGCGCTCCGCCATGACCGCGCCGCTTCTAACCCGACAGCGGAAGTGCCGGGACCCTATAAACGGCACAAGGAAGCGCGACACGCACACGCCGCCGCGACGCCACGCTGCCATCTAGGGTCCGCCGCTCCTTGTATGGGCACAAGAGGTGCGGCCTCCACAGTGACGTCAAGGCTAAGGCGGGGCACCGATAGGGGGACCTAGGGCCAGGGGCTGGGCCTATGCAAATCGCCAGGCTCAAACATAAATAGAGCACTCGGCGGACACGGGGGTAGCGGGGGTGGCGGGGTTGTGTGCACGCTGGGCTGTATGAATGTCAGGCTGCTGTGATGCGGGGGGCGGGGCTCAGGTGGAGTTCCCGCGGGAGGGGGCGGACCTACGGACCTGGCCCAAGGTGGGTGGGTCTCTGCGCCCCCTGCTACTCAACTTCCCCTTCCAATTCTCTACCTCTTTTTGATGTCCCGCAAGTGAGGATGCGCCTCGTGGGTCGCGGCGGGGAGAAAAGGGGAAATGGATGGGATGAGCCCCAGGAGAGGTCGGGGCTAAGTGGGGGCGGGGCCCGCCGGCCGAGGCCCCACCCCACCATCAGAGGCTGCCCGCGGGGGGAAAAGCCTCTGGGCGGAGGAGGCGCTTTCAAAACAAAGAAATGCGGCGTGGAGCCCAGGGGACGGGGGTGGAGAGGAAAGCGGAGGAGGTGCGGCTGTAGCCGCCCGGCTGCCCGCTTCCCCTCCAGCTAGCCCGGGGGAACTCCCCCCACCCCCAGTCGGGGCTGCGGCGGCGCCGGAGAAGAGGGAGGAGGCTGCGCTCGGCGGCTGTTTTCCAGTTCACTTTTGCAGACCCGGGTAGGGAAGGAGAGCGCCCGCTCCGCTGCCCCGCGTGGCTGCAGCGCACGCAGCTCCAAGCCCCATGTCCGCTGTGTCCCGGTGGCTGGGCAGGGGACCGAGTCGGCCACAGTGTCCAAAAACGCGCAGAGCGCTCGGAACCTACCCCGCAGCTGGGCGACACGCGTTCGGAGCGGGCCACGGGCGCCCCGCCCTCGCGCTCCCTCATCCCAGCGCCGAGCCGGGGAACTTGAACCCGCCCTCGTCAGCCCCACGGCCGCGCCGCCGAGACGCTGCTCCAGTCCCGGGGTGCTCCTACTCGGGGTGGAGTGTACACCCGGGCAGTGGATTTAGCAAACACACCTTTGTGAGTACACACGCCACGGGAGCGCGCGCACACACCCCACGAGTGCGCGCGCACAGCCCAGCCGGCTGCAGACGGCGCGCCCGGGACGCTCGGCTAAGGAGGGCGGCTGCGAGCGCGCTCAGTGCGCACTTAGACCTGCGCCCCGGCTCGGCGCGGGGTGCGGGGCTGTGGGAAACCAAGGCTCTCGGGACGTGCGTCGCGCTCACTGCCGTCCTGGAGGCGCCCGAACGGCCCATCCTCCCCTGGATAGGCAGCTTGGGGAGAAGGCGATTGAGAACGACTGAGAAGCGCAGCTTGCTGGTGCAAGAGCGCCGGGGAAAGAAAAGAAGCGAGTACCTGGCTGCACCAGGACCCCTGCGGACATTGTTCTTCGCACTCCGCAGAGCTCGGCCAAACCTGGGTCCCCGCCACACACTTACTTAGCACGTTAGAGACATCTTTACTCTTTGCCCCACCTTTTGTTTTTACTGTAAATCGTGTTACTGATACTATCGCTGTTGTAGAAGATAAACTGCACCTCCTTTGGCACTTTCGCATCTTTAAGATTATTGGCTGACGCCTGCCTGCCTTGCTGCCTGAATTTAAAGGAATAGAACGCTTCCAAGTTTTAAAGAAAATCGCCCACTAAGGGCCGAGGCCCAGGAGATCTCAAGCTCCAGCTCTGGGCTCTTCCCCTTGTTAGGCCTTCCCAAGCCTGAGGCTGCAGGTCCCAAAGGGACGGGACGCTGACAGACTTTCCATAGCTGCCTTACTTGTTAGGAAAATTTTGGTGACATGTTTTTGTAGATCCCTCTGGTATTTTTCTGGGCACCTCCTCGGTGCGTAGGAAAAGGCTGGGCAGAAAACTGGAAGAATATCTTTATGGCAAATGGCAAAGAGAAGGCTCTTTCTTCCAGTTGTTATATTTCTGGATCTCTTAAAAATAAAAATAATTTTAAAATTTTTTTAAAAATAGGTGATAGGAGTACAAAGTAAGTTGAAAAGTAAAATACAATTTGGGCTCTATTCTGTCCTCAGATACAGTCATGATAGGACTTAGGCTTGTATACTATTGTGTAGATTTCCACTCATATATTTTCATATATATACATAGAGACACTGAACTGGAAAGTTAAAGATGACAAAACCGGTGCCCCTAGACAGGGTGACTCATTCAGGGTCATTGGAGGTGTTAGTGGAAGAAATTAATTCATACTGTACAGGAAAATAAACACCTTTGGAAGTGCCTAACATTTAGAGACCTCGATTTGGTAATGAACCAAAGAGACTGGATTTAAGTAAGACACTGTCCTGCATTAGAAGGATTTAGTTTAATTATAATTTGAAGACAAATCCGGAGTCACCAGCTCAGGCTTGACCCAATTTTCCCTCTACAGTCTCTTACACTGAGACCACTCTCTCCCGCTTGAACTGTACTCCCTCTGGTTTCCCTGACACCTATCCCTCCAATGTCTGGTCTCCAATTCATCTTTCTCTGTCTTGTTTTTTTATTTATCTTCCTCCAAACTGTTTAATGTTCACCCTGCCCTACAACCTATCAGGGTCCTCTTCTCCATTTTTGGTGACACGCTCCTTGGAGCATTTCCCCCATTGTCAACTCCCAGGTCACGTATTTATTCCTGAGGGCCAGCTTCCTTTTCTGTTGCCATGAGGGTGCTCATGGCCACCTCAAATCCAAAGTACCACCTTTCCCTGGAAACCAGGTTCTCTTCCTTTCCTTAGATTGTTATTACTCTTGTGACCTGTTCATAGGCACCAAAGCTTTATCCCACTTTGCCTTTGCCTGCAACTACCATATAGGCTTATGCTATATAGTCTATCCCACCATTCTCACTGCTCAATTATTCCTCATCCTCACTCTGCAGATCCTCCTCACTAGTATGTCTGTATAAACTTTCTTCCTCCATATCCTCCGCCCAGCTGCTGTGCTTCCTAAAGTGTGAGGATGTCACCTTTTTGCTCAAGTGCCTTTAAATGGCTCTTTGCTGCCTGTGGGGAAAAGTCCAAACTCAAATAAGATCTTGACCAAACCAAATTTCCAGCTTCATCTCCCACTAAAACCCAACAGAACTTCTAGTACCCCAACAAGAATTTTGTTAGTCCCAATAGGACTTCTCCCAGTACCCCAGAAGTCATTCCCACTTTCCCATTCTGCACATTTGCTCAAGATATTCCTGCTGCCTGTAATGTCTTTTCCCTTGCAACTTGCCAAATTCCTACCCTTTCTTCAAGGACTTGCTCAGATGTCACTTCCTCTGAGAAAATCCACCTGGATGTGTGATCTCCCTCTCCTCAAGACCCTCTGACACTTTGGATCTTGTGACATTTATACCATTCTGCCTAGCATCACAGTTATGTTTGCACTTGCCTGAGCCATTCTCTCTCTTTCCTGGTTAGATATTCTCTGAAGGTTGGGATTATGTCTCAACTATCTCTGTAGTCCCAAGTGCCCCCCACTGCACTGCAAGGTTTCTGTCTCCCCAGAGGTCAGCTACACCCATGAGCCAAGGGAGAAGTAAGTAAGCAGTATGTCATTATTGGCTGGTATTTGTGCCACCTCTCACTTTTGGGGTATTTACAGTATTGTTTTTTCTGGTGTTCATAGAAATCATTACTAAATTACTTATAATTGCTCTTTCTAAACAGGCCCCTACCCCAGGGACCAAATCAGGGCTAAAGGCCTCTGGTTATGCTCCCATGTTTACCATTAAGCAATGGTAGGAAATCAAAGTACAGAAAGTCTACAGCTTCCCAAATGCAGTGACTCATATCATACCACACCACATTGGCCAGTGTGGTCAAGAGCTAAGCTCTCAGGCAGACTTCATAAACAGGACTTCCAGGACTCCATAAACTAATGGCTGCAAAAAAGAGAGACACCCTTTCCCCAGCAACTGGCCTGTTGTGAATGGATGGATAGATGGCAAAGGAATTTATATGAGAGGGACAGTAGAGGCCTATTCAGAGATGGCTCCTCTACTTGCCTTTAATTTAAAAGTGAAAAATCTGAATTAAATTTGATAGATATTATCAAATTCCTAGATCAGTAGTTTTAAAAAAGAAACCCTTAGAGTCCCCCAGAGCATAAAGCACACAGTTTTGGAACTGGGAACTAGAAATGGACAGTCACTCCCCACATGGATCTTCTTTACACTCAAGTTTGAAAAGTACACTTTGGTGGCAAGAACTTTACAGAGTCCCAGCATTTAGGAGGATGCCAGCAGAAATAAAAAATGGCATTGGCTCATCATTATTGCTAGTCATCTCAGCTAATTAAGAGAATAATTTGCCATTAGTAAGAAGATTCAAGGACATGAGAATTGGATTAGATCTAAGGAACCTCAAGTAATTTAAGATAGACACAAAGTTATGTCCATTTCCATGTTCTTCTCATACTGGGACATACTTTTCATATAACAAAGCCAATTATGTTACCTGGACTATAAATTGTTTAAAGAGGAAGAAAAGCCTAAAACAGCATAGTTAGCCTATTAAGGAGGCATTATTCTCCCCTCCAGTCAAATGACAGATAATTCTACACTGTGTGGCAAAAAGCAAGTGAAAATTATAAGTGGCACTTTATCAAGGCAAAAAGTCCAATAACAGAAAAGGTGCCATGAGAATCTTTGTGGTCAATCATTTCCACCAAATAGATTCTTGGGCAAAATAAGAAGTGAACAGGGAATGATCAACCTAGGACTGATTGATTTAAAACAATTGCTCCATCTTTGAAAAGGGGAAAAAATTTGATTCAATTCAACTTTGTTAAATTCTACAGAGTCAAACCACTAATATTTTATTATTGATATTTTTTAGAGAATGGGTGC